CTCTAGATGCCACCAAGACCCCAAAATGGACCTTCAGGACCATCCCATGGGGTGTGGCACAGGGTCCAAACATCTCTAGATGCCACCAAGACCCCAACATGGACCTTCAGGACCATCCCTTGGGGTGTGGCACAGGGTCCAAACATCTCTAGATGCCACCAAGACCCCAACATGGACCTTCAGGACCATCTTTTGGGGCACGGGATGGTCCCAACATCTCTAGATGCCACCAAGACCCCAAAAGGGACCTTCAGGACCATCCCATGGGGCATGAGATGGTCCCAACACCTCTAGATGCCACCAAGACCCCAAAATGGACCTTCAGGACCATCCCATGGGGCATGAGATGGTCCCAACATCTCCAGATGCCACCAAGACCATCCTCTTAAGTTCAGGATGCTCCCAAACATCTCCAGGTGCCACCAAAGCCCCACAAGTACCTTCAGCTCGCCCCGCCCCACGGAGAGGAGAGGACGGAGGACCTCCCCGTTCTCCATCCCACCCCACCAGCCCTCACCAGGTCCATGTGCTTCAGGCTGTCGAGGAGTTTGCAGTTGCGGTTCTTGAGGCGATGGGCCTCGTCGATGATGACGCAACGCCACTCGATCTCCCGCAGCTCGGGACAATCCGAGAGGATCATCTCGAAGGTGGTGATGAGGGCGTCAAATTTGTAGGCCCCGGGGATGAGACGACCCTGGAGGATGATGGGAATAAACCAAAAAAACCCCAAAACCCTGGAGATAAAGGTGGTGGACTTCCAAAAACACCTTCTCGAGAAGGTTGGGGGAAAAGGGGAGGTAAGAAAGGTGGTGGCCTTCCAAAACCATCTTGAGAAGGTTCTGGGAAAAGGGGAGATCACAAAGGTGGTGGACTTCCAAAAACACCTTCTCAAGAAGGTTGTGGGGAAAGGGAAGATGGAAAGGTGGTGGCCTTCAAAATCATCTTGAGAAGATTCTAGGAAAAGGGGAAATGACAAAGGAGGTGGACTTCCAAAAACACCTTCTTGAGAAGGTTGGGGGAAAAGGGGAGATGGAAGGGTGGTGGTCTTCCAAAACCTTCTTGAGAAGATTCTAGGAAAGGGGAAATGGAAAGGAGGTGGCCTTCCAAAACCTTCTCAAGAAGGTTGGGGGAAAAGGGGAGATGGAAAGGTGGTGGCCTTCCAAAAACACCTTCTCGAGAAGGTTGGGGGAAAAGGGGAGATGGAAAGGTGGTGGCCTTCCAAAACCTTCTCAAGAAGGTTGGGGGAAAAGCAGAGATGGAAAGGAGGTGGCCTTCCAAAAACACCTTCTCAAGAAGGTTCTAGGAAAAGGGGAGATGGAAAGGTGGTGGCCTTCCAAAACCATCTTGAGAAGGTTCTAGGAAAAGGGGAGATCACAAAGGTGGTGGCCTTCCAAAACCTTCTCGAGAAGATTCTAGGAAAAGGGAAGATGGAAAAGGTGGTGGACTTCCAAAAACACCTTCTCGAGAAGGTTGTGGGAAAAGAAGAGATAAGAAAGGAGGTGGCCTTCCAAAACCATCTTGAGAAGATTCTAGGAAAAGGGGAGATGACAAAGGAGGTGGACTTCCAAAAACACCTTCTTGAGAAGGTTGGGGGAAAAGGGGAGATGGAAGGGTGGTGGTCTTCCAAAACCTTCTTGAGAAGATTCTAGGAAAGGGGAAATGGAAAGGAGGTGGCCTTCCAAAACCTTCTCAAGAAGGTTGGGGGAAAAGGGGAGATGGAAAGGTGGTGGCCTTCCAAAAACACCTTCTCGAGAAGGTTGGGGGAAAAGGGGAGATGGAAAGGTGGTGGCCTTCCAAAACCTTCTCAAGAAGGTTGGGGGAAAAGCAGAGATGGAAAGGAGGTGGCCTTCCAAAAACACCTTCTCGAGAAGGTTGGGGGAAAAGGGGAGATGACAAAGGAGGTGGCCTTCCAAAACCTTCTTGAGAAGGTTCTGGGAAAAGGAGAGATGGAAGGGTGGTGGCCTTCCAAAACCTTCTTGAGAAGGTTCTGGGAAAAGGAGAGATGGAAGGGTGGTGGCCTTCCAAAAACACCTTCTTGAGAAGGTTCTGGAGGTGGAGAAGACCTCAAGTGGTGGGATTTGTGGTTTTTTTTTTTTTACCCGTGAGTCTTTGCAGTACATCTCGTACTGTTGGATCATCTGCCTGGAGGCCAAGCTGCCGTGGTAGACGATGGTGTTCATCTCCGTCCAGGTGTTGAACTCCCTCTCCCAGTTGGTGATGGTGGACAAAGGGGCGATGACCAAGAAAGGTCCCCTCACCCCGACGTTGTAGACCTCTTGCAAGAAGGCGATGGATTGGATGGTCTTCCCCAAACCCATCTCGTCGGCCAAGATGCAGTTCTGCCTGTTGAGGGAGGAAGAAGGTGAGGAGGTCAGGAGGTCACCTCTCGGGTGGCCGGAGGTCACCACCACCACCACCACCGCGTCCTCCGTGGACCTCACCTGTTGTACCAGTTGAAGAGCAACCAGTTGACCCCTTCCAGTTGATACTCCCGGAGCTGGTTGTGGTTTTTATACTCGTGCGACAGCTCCAGCTTCTTCCAAGAACCCGCTTGAGGTCGGGGCTGTGGAGAAGACCATGAGGTGAGAAGATGGAGAAGAACCTCCCAGTTTGGGGGGACGAGGACAATATGGGGTGGGGAGAAGATCTGGGGTCCCACCAAACGTTTGAGTTCGGGGTGTCGGGCTTGAATTCGTTTAAATTCCCCGATTTTCCCTTCGTCCACGTCCTCCTTGAGCTCCCAAGTGCTGTCCTCGTAGGGGAGGGAGCACCACTTGACCAAGTAGTAGACCACCGGCTGCCACCAAGAGTTGAGGACACACAGAAGAAGACCAAAGGGATGGTCAGTGACAACAAAAAAAGACCATTTTGGGGACAAAAGACCAAAAAAACCCCCTGGGTCACCTCCCCGTTGTCCTTATCGACGCTGTGGGACTCGTCCAAGATGCGGTCCACCTCCACGTAGTCGGGGTTGAAGGGTTCTTCATCCTTTGGAGAAGGTGGAAGTGGTCACGGGTGGTCACCAAACCCCAAAACACCTTTTTCTCCCCCCCAAAAAACCCCCAAACCTTCCCTTTTCCAGCCCAAAACCCAACCTCGTGGAAAAAATGCCGCATCTGGGTCATCTTGGTCTTGAACCTCTTGAGCTTCTGGTGGATCCTCTTGTCCTTCTCCAGTTGGTCGATGGTGGCCCATTCGCAGTGGAGGTAGGAGCTGGGGTGGGGTTGGGGGGGACACAAAAGTGGGGGGGACACGGGGACGAAACGTCACGTCCCCATGTCCAGGTGAAGAGTTTTGGGGGGAAAAAAGCCACTTTTGGCCAAAAAAAAAACCCCTCCAAGAACCACCTCGTCGTGGTGAGGCCACCAAAGGTCCCAAGGGGGACCTCAGGGGACACCCCCAACCCCCCCCCTCCTCGTTTTGGGGTCACCTACTAGTTCTTATATTTGACGAAAAACTCTTCGGATTCGGTCAACTGCCCCGACGGAAGCTGGGGAGAAGGTGGTGAGGACGTCAAGATGGGGTGAAACCAAGCAGAAGATCCCATCCCACCACTTCCCATCATCCCATCCTCCTCCTCACCTCTTTCTTCACCACCCTCATGGAGAGGACCTTGTCCACGATGGCGGCGTCTTCCTCGCTGGGGTTTTCCTGGAGGAGAAGAAGAAGAAGAGGTGAAGATGATGATGGTGGGATGGAGAGAAACGAGAAGATGGGATGGAGAAGATGGAGATGATGGAGAATGGAGAAGGGGGGGAACATCTGAGGTGGACGAGGAGATGACATCCCACCACAAAGAACTGCATGGAAGGTAAAGTCTCTCCTTCGGGTTCCGGTTCGGGAGCTGGAGGTTGAGGAACCGGTGGTTGCTCCGTTCGAAGAGGTCCCGTCACGTCCAACTCTTCGTCCTCCTCATCGTCGGTGATCTTGATGTCCAAGTCCTCCGTGTACTTCTTCCTCTTCACCTGCCGGTTGGACCTTCGCTTCTGGAAAAAGAAGAGGAGGAGGAGGAGAAGAGGTGGCCAATCACAGCCCAGGGGAGGGAGAAGGTGGGAAGGAACCACCATGGTGGACCTCTGGAGATGATCTTCATACCTGGACGCTGGTCTCCTCTTCCTCGCGAGGAGATGGGGAGGGCAGGACCTCGGCGTCGGAGTTGTCGGAGGAGGCGTTGCGTTTGCGCTTCTTGCCCACCACGGGGGTGATGGTGCTGGTGGTGGGGGAGGA